TATTTTTATAAATTTATTTCAAACATAGTTTGTGAAGGTTCTAAAAGCTTATCCCCTACCCTTATTACCCCCTCACAGAGATAACCATTCCCCTCACCACCCCCTTTTTAAGTAGTTTTTCCTAGTAATTATCTCCTCATTTATAAAGAAAATGCTTATACATATCTCTCTTGATTTAAACAATTTTGGACACAATGTATTTATTTTCTACAAATAAGGTGAGGATTTAGCGCATTCACATACACATGCACATGCATGCCTGCATGTGTCCATCTGTACCCCTTCCCCTATTGCCTTTTCCCCATCACAGTTTTGGCTGCGTCATTGGGTAGCATTTGCTGCTGACTATAAGGGTATTATTCATTGCTGAGCCCAGTTCAGTCTTCCTTTCTTATATATTTGCTTAGTTTTCTATTTAATGATTACTAGTTTTTTCCAAATGATCTATCAGATACATATCATTTTTTTTAACCTTTGTTCTCTTTACTCAAATTTCAGCCTTCGACACCTATCTTGCTCTCTTTATCCTTGTTTGTGGGTTTATACTCTTTTTACTCCTTAATCATTAATTTTTTAAAAAATATACTTCATTGATTTTTTACAGAGAGGAAGAGAGAGGGTTAGAGAGAAACATCGATGAGAGAGAAACATCAATCAGCTGCCTCCTGCATACCCCCTACTGGGGATGTGCCCCGCAACCACTGTCACTGCTGGAAGTCAACACTATTTTGGTTTTGGTTTGTTTTCTTTTTTTCTTAACACTATTTTAAACAGAATACATTCCTGGCTTTATCATGAAAGTCATTGGGAGGGAAAAAAAAGCATAGTTATTTTGCAAAGTTGATTGTCTTTTTTGTTGTATAAAGTACTTTTAATAATATTTTACATTAGTTTGCCTATATCCTGTGTTGCCCTAAAACATGTCAGAATGCTTTCATGAACTCTTGCCAGTTTGTTTTACCTTTACCTACTATGTATCTTATCAGTTACACCTCATCTTGAAATGCATGGCTGTTTTCCTAGGAATCAGAGCAGGAGCAGCTATCTCTCACATAATCATTTGCGTCTGATTGCCAAAGGGATTGGTGTGTCATGTTTCCTTGAAACCTCTGCTGACCCAGAAATTACCTCATTTTCACATTACAAAGGAATTATTAAGTGTGAGAGGTCAAGGTTCATGTGAAGGTTATGGCCATGTTTCCTCCCTTGTCAAAATTCAGAAAACTTTTCAAATAAGAAAACAAAAACAGCCATACAAAATTACATCCCTTTAAATTGTTATACAGTCTTCACCATCATATACAATTCTCTGCACTGCTTGATGTAATAGTGAGGAGGGAGCTGCCTGTGTTCCCCATGGATTTGTAAACTCATAGGTGGCAACCGTATCCTAGAAGGTAAAACTCAAACAGAGGGTCATTTGGCAGCAGTCTGCGGAGCAGGCCGGCAGGAAGATAAACAATTGCTACTGTGGGAAGCAAGGAAACATCTTTGCTATTGGCAACCTTTTTATGCAAGATTGGGAGAATTCATAACTCCCTGGTAGGAAAAGTAAAAAAATAAATCTGAAATTGAATAAAAATATATGTGAAGAAGACTGTGTTAGGATTACTTTGGTTGAAAAAAATCACACTGACATACGCATAGAGGGTATTTATTGCCTTATGTATCCAAAGATTCAAGCCGGTAGGAGTACAGTCGGATCCAGGGGCTCAGCATATGCAATCGGGTCTCTTCCTTTTCTCCTTCCGGCTCTTGGCTTGACCCTCTTCAGTGTTGGCACCATTTTTGGGTGGGCTTTCTCCACAGGGTGGCCACTGGCAGTTTCCGGCTCATAACTTCAACAGGAAAGAAAGTAGAAAGAACTTATCTTTCCCAGTAGTTCTGATGTGGGCTCCAGGATTGAATCGCATTGCCCATTCCTGAACCATTCATAGTGGTGGGGATGCGATGGAATATCCTAACTGGCCAGCCTGGGACATGAGTTCACACAGGAGGGAGAGGAAGTGGGATGTTAGCTGCACTCAAACCACTTGGGCTGAGAGGGGAGCTTCGAGAAGGGATACTTATCTCAGAGGAACACGAGTGCTGTTAGCAAGAGAGTGAGTAGATGCTCTGTGCAACCAAAGATGCCTGCTACCGAGAGGAAAGCATGAGCTCGTTTTGAAGTATATGGAAGGATAACATGCTCATAGAAGTAAACAAACTGTTCCCTGCCAAAGATTAATGAGAGAAAATAGGCATAAACTGCAGTAGGAGGGATTTTAGTAATACATATGCTTTAGAAAAGCTAGATATATATCAAAGATTTATAAGGCAAATTCCACTTTTCCACTGATTTCCATTATAAAGTCCTGACCTATATTTCCAAAAGGAAGCAAATTTACCAGGTTTTTTAGTTGGGAATTTCTGATGGAAAACTAGTTATGAGAGCAACAGATCTATAATATGTACTGGGCCTTGTAACATATTAGCTATACAGCATCTACCAGAATTGCAGTTACCAGCCACCAATTCACTTTTTCTTTGGGGTTCTTCCAGAACTGGGAAGATTTTTTATTTCTCTTTCTTGGCAAACAATTGGTTTATCCTTTTCTTAAGCCACAGACCTTTTTCCTATGCTTAGGTGTTTCTCATTCCACCTTGGACCTCCAAGAAGTTGTCCATTTTTTTACATAATAGAACTAACTACAAATGTTGGGTCACATTTTGCCAACAGGGAAGTAATCTAATTCAGGTTCTGCCACAGCCTAAAACTCCCTTAAGAGCAGTACTTCTGTTTGTATAAAATTGGAGGCCACATAAAGAGAGCTATGGATTAGGACCACCTGCAGAGACTTCCCAGACTTTTCCCAAAGCAATGAAAAGGTAGGAATGGGGAGGGCAGAAAAGAGGATGGGCAGACAGGTACAGCCCACAGCAGTTGCTCCGCCTTTGTGTATATCTGATTTATAAGAGAATGGAATCACTATCTGTAACATAGAAAACAGTATGTAGACTTTGCCTGCAAGATTGTCAAGCTTAAACAGGAGAATGGTTAATTCAGGTAAAAAATAATTATAGATTTCTCAAACATTTATATTACTCCTTCCCCATCTTCTCTTTCTTAATTCCTAAAATTTATATCAAGACTCTGTCTTTGAGCCCTTTTGTTCATTCATTCATTTAACAAATAGTTAGTGAGCACCTGCTATGTGCTGACACTTCTAGGCATTTAAACTATAGCAGGGGATAAAACAAGTCCTTGACTTTGTAGAGTTCACATTTTGAGGAGGAGAGCAGTCCATAAATAAGCAATATATAACATGTCAGGTAATATTAAGTGCTGAGAAGAAAAATGAAGCAGGCTGAGAGGGGTGAGCAGAGGGGAAAGTAAGGCAGTCAGTCTGTTCTAAGAACAGCCAGGAGTCCAGAGTTGCTGGACTATAGGGAGCAAAGGAGAGCATGGTGAAAGAGGTCAGAGAGAAAGCAAAGGCAGGTGGGGATTGGGAGCTGCCCATATTTAGGGGAGAAGAGAAACTGTTGAGGGATTTGGACAGAAGAATGATGGGACCTGGTTGGTTTTTTTTTAATTTTTTTAAAATACATTTTTACTGATTTCAGAGAGGAAGGTAGAGGGAGCAAAAGATAGAAACATCAATGATGAGAGTTCTCATTGATCAGCTGCCTCCTGCATGCCCCCCACCGGAGATTGAGCCCACAACCCGGGCACTCCATCCACTGAGCCAACCGGCTAGGGCCTGGTTTATGTTTTAACCAGGAAGTTCCAGCTGCAGTTAGGGAATAGGGTAGAAGCAGGGTGACTGATTAGGAGATCATTGAAAAACACCAGGCCAGAGATGATGGACCATCATCTGAGATTGAGGAGGAGGTAGTGAGAAGCATCTTATCCTGGGTATATTTTGAAATTTCATGTTTTCTTCCTTTGTTTGTTTTTTCTTTTTCCTCATTCTTCTTCTTTTTTTAAAGAAAATATATTTTATTGATTTTTTACAGAGAGGAAGGGAGAGGGATAGAGAGTTAGAAACATCGATGAGAGAGAAACATCGGTCAGCTGCCTCCTGCACACTCCCTAGTGGGATGTGCCCACAACCAAGGTACATGCCCTTGACCGGAATCGAACCTGGGACCCTTCAGTCCACAGGGCAAAGCTCTATCCACTGAGCCAAACCAGTCAGGGCCCTCACTAGTCTTTAGACATTATATAACCTTTTCCACCACCCACCCACCCAACCGCAGTGATGGAATTTGTATTTATATGCTTTGAGACCAGGAGCTTTATTTCTGGTCCTGTCTTAGGTCTCTTCCTTCTGCCACCCCTCTAGAGTTTGTTTGATATGGAGCTGGGCACAGATATGATAACACTGCTGCAGACACACATTTGGGAGGTACTGGCATGATGGGAGAAGGGGTCAGCAAGTCCTAGGAAGGGCAAGTCAAAAGCAGGATCTTCGCTATTTCTGATCAGGGAACTCAGCCATAGCATATATCTCCTATTGACTGTGCCCAGAATCTCTGAAGGTATTTCTTGTGGAAACTGCTCTCACTGTTGACATTTTACAGAGAGAACTCATATGGAACGGAGAACTGCAGCAGAGACATGAATCACTGCTGTGCTTCAGGCAGGGACAATAGTAGTCATTGAACCTTAAGTCCAGAATCAGGATTCTAGAAGGCATTTAATCCAGTCTTCTCCTGCTGTTGTGTGAACCCCTACCATGATTGCAGTCATCTAGCCTCTGCTTCAAGAGTCTGTAACTCATAAATCATGGAATGTGGGTGCTGGAAGTGGTCTTAGAAATTATATAGGGCTGGGACTAGAACTCCCAGCCCCATGTTCTTTCCACTCACTGTCTTGTCACTCCAAATAAAGAGTAGCCCTTGCCGAGAATTACAGAGGTGGGTTTAAATGCCTCAGTTCAGCCCATCGTAGGCTGTGTGGGTTTATTTGCCTTTCGGTCCTAAAAAGTAACGATTTTTCTTTTTATTTTCAACTTCAGGGATCGCCCTGCTCTCAGATGCGTACCCGGAGAAAATTTTGATTGGCCTGTTGGCTCAGTATGACAGCAGCAAAGACAAACATACGCCCGAGACCAGAATGAAAGTCGGGGAAGTCCTGATGCGAATTGTGAGGGCATTAGGTGAGTTTTCTTGTTCCATCCTTCTGAAACAGTGGGGGAACAGTCTAGCTTTGGAGGCTTAGTATGTCCACTGCGAAGGTAGGGATGTTCCTAAACATCTTGCAATGCCCAGGACAGCTCTCTACAACAAAGAATGATCTGGCCCCAATTGTCAAGAAGGCCCCTTTGGATAGATCCTGTTCTAGGGCTCATATGAGCATTTGGTTTCTGCTTTAACATCACTCAGATGTGTTAGTTAAGTCCAGGACTGCCATTGACAGCTATTCAGGTTGTTCACAGCTGTAAAAACTCTAAGAGGCGTCATTGTATGGACGGCATGCCCTGGAGTTGTACAATACGCAACCTGCGTGGTCATCCTGGTGGCCTTGACACATCTCAGTTATAATTTATCGATTGCCATCTCTCTGGACAGAGTTTGAAAGTTATTCATTCCCTTCTGTAATATATTTACAAATCCTTTGGATATGGAAGCTTCTGCATGTGGCTAATCTTATGAGCATACTTTTTTAGTGAATAGCCTTTTCTGATCCTATCTGCTAAATATGGGAGTGTGTCCTCATGAGAGCCTGTGGCCACCTTATATGTGATTATGTATGCCTCCTCCACTTTTTTTGGCCTTCTTTTTACATTTAATGGACCATAATATGAACAAAGTATATTTTTAAATTATCTTCACATCAATTTTTTCAGAGATGTAAGTTTAAAATCTATTTATAGGTCTTTCCCCTCCTAATTGTAGCTGTAATACATGGTAGTTTTGGGAAATTTGGAAAATATTTTTAAAGTATTTTTAAAAAACAAAGTAATCACTGACAATCTCATAATTCAGAAATAACCACTTTTTGTTTACATTTTGATCTTTCCTTTTTTTCTCAGAACTCTAATTATACTGTGTATATCCTGCATTTTTTCATTTAACATTATCAGCACTTTTCTATGTTATTTAATATTTCTTGAAAATTTAAGTTATATTGGTTGTATTATATAATCAGTAATCTGAATCTATTATAATATTTAATTTTCTTCCAAAAGGCTATTATGGTTTAATTAGGTTGTTTCGAGTTACTTTCTTTATGAGGAACTTTTCAAGGATTATGAGAAGTGTGCTATTGATTATTCTTATACACAAATCCTTTTGGTGACTCTTTGATTTTTTCTTTAAGATTGGTTCCTGCAAGGGAAATTGCTAGGTCAAAGTATACACATGCTTTAAGGCTCTTGATATTTAGTGCTAAGTTGTCCTCCAGAAATGTGCACTCTTGTCAGCAGTGAATGAGACTGCTAATTTCTCATACAGAAAAATTATTCCGTGGCTTCAGACCAGATTTCTACCTTTGCTCCCAGAGTGAATGGAAGAACCTATCAGAAAATGTGGTGGGCGGGTGGGCTGATGAAAGCAGGGAGGGTGTGAGGGGAGGGACTGCTGGATGAAAAGGTGGATGTGTAACTCAGTGAACGCATTGTTGCTCTAGAAGAGCAACTCAGATCTGGTGGTGTCGTCGTTATATACAAAGAATAGCACTTAATTATATTTAAAGGCAGAACAGTCTTACTCAGCAAGCTCAAACAAGTTCCAGTTTACTGTAGATCAGAAGTTTCTAAAAATAAGCAAAAATAGAAAGCCGTATTCATGTTGAAGATATTCATCTGAAGAGTTTACCTTCAGTGAACTCTATAGAAAAGATCAGGAATTAATTTTTGGAATGAGGAATGAGGGGAGAGAACTAAATCTCAGGTCTCTACTGGAGTATGCCAGGGCAAGTAGAATGACACCCAGGAATGCTGGGGCAAAGCAATTTATACTTCTAGGTTAGGAGGTGCCTTTTCTCTTTATCTTCCAGGAAAAGGTGGGTCCAGGAAAAGGGGGTATTTCTAACTCTTAATGACCTTATTTAATGTACTCTGTCAACTCTTTTTCACATCACCTGCTTAATTTTTATTATTTTTGTTTTTGTTAATCCTCATCCAAGGATATTTTTCCCTTTGATTTTTAGAGAGTGGGAGGGATGCAGAGAGGGGGAGAGAGAGACAGACAGACAGAGACGCAAACAGGGACACAGACAGACATTGATGTGAGAGAGACACATAGATTGGTTGCTCACACATGCACCCCTACTGGGGCTGGGGATGGAACCTGCAACCCAGGCACATGCCCTTGACCAGGAATCAAACCCTTGACCATTTGGTGCTCGAGCCAACCCTCTAACCACTTAGCCATACTGGCCAAGGCTCACCTGCCTAATTTTTGTTTTAGTTTAGTAATCACTTTGTGCCCCCTTACAGTTTAATCTAGTGATGAGCAACCCATGATCCTATCTAGTTCCAGGATGAAGCTCATAATCTGATTTTAGAAAACCTGTCATCTGCCCAGAGAGGAACAAATTCAGTCCCAAATTCTTTTCTGGCAACCACCTTCTCCTAGCCAGTTGTAAGAACAGGAAAATTGATTAATTAGATTTGTCTAGCAGGCCACTGTGAATTCCAATTGGCTTGGACTGGGAATTAAGATAAAAAGAGGAGCTTTATAACAGCTACATAGCCCTGACTGGTTAGCTCAGTTGGTTAGAGCATTGTCTCAATATGCCAAGGTTGCAGGTTCTACCCCCAGTCAGGGCATATACAAGAATCAACCAATGAATGCATAAATAAGTGGATGTTTCTCTCTCTCTCTCTCTCTCTCTCTCTCTTCAATAAATAAAAAATTAAAAAAAAACAGCTACATAATATTTTATAGTATGGATATATCACAATTTAGACCATATAATCAACCATTCCTCTGTGAATAAACCTTCACTTTTTTCTGTTTTTTCCTGACATGCAGTATTGCAATATAAATTTTCACATACATATGCTAATATAAATATATGCATATTTTGTATGTATGTACATGCTAATCACTGGGTCAAAGGCTGTTTATATTTTAACTTGCTTATATACTGACAGATTACTTCCTAAAATTGTGGGTGAGATTGTGCTTTTTGAACCCCTGCTATGTCTGTTGCCAAATAGAGAAAAGTATTTTTTGAAAATTGAGTTCTTCGAAGAGGACACATTTGTAATACCTTAATAATAATAAAAAAAAAGGAAAAAAAAGAAAAAAAAAGTGAATGGACTAAGAAAGTCCATTTTTTGTTATTATGTCATTTGTCTTGATTGCAATGGCAGAAAATGTCTTAATTTAAGAAATGCATTAGTAATACATTTTGCTATCAATTACCTTATAAGAGTAGTCAAGGAATGACAAAATAAATCACCTTTAGAAGTATCTTGCTCAACCAAGTTTGTTTAAAGGTGCAGCATTATAACCAGTTACCTCAAGGGCATTCTAAATAACTAGTTTCCAGAAATATCTTAACTTTTAATTTACCAATTTAAAAATTTTACTTTATGAGTCTTTCTTCCATAATATATCTTTTGGTTCTCTTCTGTATAATAAACAACCCCAAAACTTAATGGCTTAATTTCACAACCATTTATTTGTTCTGAATTCTATAATATAGGTAAGGTTTGCTAGGGACAGCTCATCTCTGCTCCCCATGGTGTTGTCTGGGCTCAGCTGGTGGTCTTTTGCTGCATGTGATGTAGCCTGGGCGTACCCAGCAGGTTGCATTCAGCTGGGGTCTTGACTGGGGTCCCTCAGGGCTCCTTCACATGGCTTCTCTCTGTGCCTGCATGTGAACACTCCCCATTTGGTTGTCTGGGCCAAACTTCTTTTCAGCATGGTGAATGGTTTCCCAGAGAACAAAAGGAGAAGCTGCCAGGGCTGTTAAGAGCTAAACCTGGAACTGGCTTACTGTCTCTTCTGCCACATTCTACTGTCAAAGTCAGTCATAAAACCAGCCCAGGTTCAAGGAGAAGGGAAGTAGTCTCTAATTCATGTTGAGAGAAACAGCATTGTGTTCAGGGATGGTGTGTTGGTAGCCATAGCTGCACACTAATTACCCACACTACCACAACCCTAACAATACAGAGGTGTGTAAAGAAAAATCTAGTCTTTCCAAAATACTAGTTACATTTACTATTTTCACCTCCCAAGGTAAATAATGATAATGGTTTGGTATATGTTCTTTTATACCTTTCTCTGTGCTCATATAGATATATATAAAAGTATATGAGCTCCTTATGTGCCTTTTTTTTCTCTTTTACAAAAACATAATCTTAATATATTATTACTATTACTAGAGGCCCGGTGCATGGAATTTGTGCACTCAAGGGGAGAGGGGTCCCTCAGCCCAGCCTGCGCCCTCAAGTCATCTGTCGGATATCCTTAGTGTTGCAGTTGCTGTGGAGATGGGAAAGGCTCCTGCCACACCACCGCCACTATGCTCGCCAGCCATGAGCCTGGCTTTTATCTGAGTGGTGCTCCCCCTGTGGGAGCACACTGACCAGGGGGCAGCTCCTGCGTTGAGCGTCTTCCCCCTGGTGGTCAGTGCGCATCATAGCAACCGGTTGTTCCACCATTCAGTCGATTTGCATATTAGCCTTTTATTATATAGGATTACATATGATTACATGCTTTCATTGAAATCTAACTTTACCAAAGTATAATTTGCATAAAATGCTCCATTTTAAGTTTACATTTCAGTGAGTGTACATATAAATCCATGTAACCATCACTACAATCAAAATATAGAATATTTTCATCACTTCAAACGTTCCTTTGCTCAGATAATCTCCCATTCCACACTCCACCTCAGGAAACCACTGATGTGCTTTCTGTGACTGCAGATGAGATTTGTCTTGTATTTTAGGTAAATGAAATCATTTAGTATATACCCTTTTGTATTTGACTCCTTTTGCTCAGCATAATGTTTTCGAGATTCATCCATGTTGTTGTGTAGATCAGTTTTTCACTACTTTTTTATTGCTAAGTAGTACCTAGGAGTGGAATTGCTGGCTCGTATGTAGATATATAAGAGACTGCCAAACTGCTTTCCAAACTAGTTGTACCATTTTACATTATGACCAGCAATGTATGAGAGTTCCCCTTGCTCCATATT